CTATCTAAATTTTGCTTGAATGCAAATTTACCGTTTCCTAAAATGCAATTTGTCTTAGAGAAAAAACATTCAGTTTTATTTTATGTGCTGTGTTCCTTCAGGGTGGAGGTGATCATGGCCCTCCACATCCTCCTGTCCCTTGTAGCTCTTAATAAGTTTTGTCTTTTTGTTATTTATCCCACACTCTGTTCTGCCATCCATTTGATCAAGCCCATCAAGTATGTTGCGCACTGGTTTCCTCTGTTTTTTTTCCCACTATCTGTCCCGTGAGTATCAAATTTTCCAAGCCCTCCTTCCTCATTACGTCTCCCAAAAATTACAGTTGCCACTTTCTGATGTTAAGTATGAGTTTCCTCTTTGTTTCCATTCTCTCCAAAACTTCGTTGTTGCTCACATGTTTGGCCATGGTATCCTCAGCATCTTTCTGTAGAACTATATTTCTGTTGCTTTGGGTCTCTTCTTCATCTTTGAAGATATTGTCCAGAATTCGCTGCCGTAAACAAGGACAGATTTCCCATAACAGTTCAGTATTCTTTTCTTTGTTTCTAACAAAATTTTCCTGTCTCTTAATACTCTGCTTAGCTTTTGGAATGCATCTTTGGCCATCCAAATATTTCTTCGGATCTCAGTGTCACACTTTCCATCCTCTGTTAGAACACTTTCCAGATATTTAAATTTATGTACCTGCTTGATTTTAGTGTCTCCGACCTGTAAATTGCACTTTGGACTCTTATTTTTATTGATGGCGGCCATGATTCTGTGTTCTTCTAGAAGTACTTATTCATTTTTTCTCGCTTTTCTTCGCTATCGTTTGTAGGAGGTTTTGTAGTAACCTTTCCGTGTCTGCTATCAACGCTATGTCATCTGCATTGAATAAGTCCGGGGAGACGACACATCCTTGTCTTACACCCCTTTCTATTTTTATATATCTGCTGAACTTATTTTTACCCGTACGTAGGCAATTTGCTAGCGGTAGTTACTTATAAAAATAGTCATGTCCTGGTAAAATCCAATTAATGGATTCTATTTTTCATAGGGTCACAGTGTCCTGGGTATGACGATAAACTACGTCCAGCAGCAAGGCATCTGATCAGGAGGTTTTGAGGAGCGTGGAATCACCTCTTAATTGCTGGTGTCCCCAGGTCCACCCTGACCCAGGGTGGTAGCGCCTGTTAGGGTCCCAGCTCTAGGCAAATAGTTAAACCCGAAACTGAGGTCAAAACACTATGAAAGTGGAAAAATAGGTTTTAATACCAGAAATACTTTGTAAAAAATTATTATCAGCAATAAAATTAAAAAAAAAAAAATTACCAACAATAAATTTTTTAAATAAAAATATTACCAACAATACGTTTTTGAAAAAAAAATTATTACCAGTTTTGAAGAAAAAATTATTACCAGAAATAGATTTTTGACAAAACAAAATATTACCAGCAATAGAAAATTTTGTCGGCATTAAATAACCCATTGAGGTTGATATGCCGTAAAAAAAATTAACCAAGTCAAACTCATTTCTTACAAAGAATACATATATACTGGTTATATTCATACGAATCTATCCTAAAAATCTTGTTGGCATTAAATAACTCATTCGGGTTGATATGCCGTAAAACAAACTAAACCAAACCAAATCATAGGGTCATGGTTTATCATTGTGATACCAGATTATTTTACTTAATAAAGATTTGAGTTGATTATGCTTTTCGATTTTGATTTTCCACTCTGAAAATCGCGGATTCGTTCTATAAAATATGAGGTAAAATGAAAATTTTGGACCAAACGAGACATTTTGGTACGGTAACTAATATAAAAAACATGAACGTCATTTTTGGATTCGACACCTGTCTATATCTAATCTTCATTGCCATATTCAAAACTTTTCGGCCTCTATATCACTGAGATGAGGTATTATGATTACTTGCATTAATTACATTATTCGGACTGTTATCCTCATCTTCATTGCCGTATTCAAGCATATCTATCTATATATTAAGAAATGGACAAGGTCCGACAATAAATAACAACGTTAAACATAAAAAATATATCTATCTATCTATCTATCTATCTATCTATCTATCTATCTATCTATCTATCACAGCCTGAAGCTTTTTATCGATTTATTTATCTATCATAGTCAGTTCAAGTTTATCTTCATATACTGTTCAACCTTATCTATCTATCTATCTATCTATCTATCTATCTCTGTTCAAGCATATCTATCTATGTCAGTCTGTTCATATCTTTCTGTCTATCTATGGCACTATCTATCACAGTAGCTTCAAACATGTTCAAACGTTTCTATCTATCTATCTATCTATCTATCTATCTATCTATCTATCTATCTATCTATCTCAGCCTGTTCCAATACATGTATGTATATATTTGTTCATATTTATCTCTCTCATTCTGTTCAGACACATTTCCTGTACATGTCGGTCTTTACGAATCTTTCTAAATCAAAGTTCCCATTCTGTACGTTATCGATTTATAGCCGAAGATGAAGAAGTCATGCAATTCCTTGTTCATTATTATGTAAATACTACAGACGTGTAACGACACGCGTCACACTTCACATTGTAGGCTTGACTCACCTGTCCTCACTCGAGGTTTCAAGCCGTTCATATTAATGAAATTGGTCTCATAAAAACCTTCTTTGTCAGCCGTTTTCGTCCCATCGTGCATTCAGCTTACAAAATGTAATGACGTTCGCAATTCTCTCATCCGATAAAAACAAGAGAATATTTAGAATATCCCCGTCTGCTTCGGTGGCAAAGTTAATTCTGTTTACAGACCGCTGCTTAATATATACTTTTATATAAATATATATGATTTTATAACATATTTATGTTATAATTTTAAATAAATAATAATTATATATATATATATATATATATATATATATATATATATATATATATATACTATAGTAGTAGAGCCGGGCGTTGCCTGGGATGTAACAGTAAGAGATAGATCAAGTATCGATCATCATAAAGACTGAAAAATAAAATTGACAAAGATTATTGTTTAAGGTTGACGGACACGCATGTCTTAATTAGTTTTTTTTATTTTTTTTTTATTTTTTACGAATTGGTCAAACCCGAACTCAAACAAAAACATTGTTTTCAATCGTTATGAGTCTACCGATTGAATAGAATTTTATTATAAACAATTGTCTTGTAAATGGAATTTTTAAAGCATTCTGAATGTAAAAATAAAGAAAAAAGTGTGCAAGACAATAAGAAACACTACTTGCCAAAAAAAAAGTGAAGTTTTGTTGAAATCGGTTGAAAAATGTAGGAAATCTGATCATATATATCAACGAACATACACACAAACACACACACAAACAACCAACCTGGGTTTTATAAGTATAGCCCGATATTTCGATACTAATAAGTATAACTCGATATGAGTTGTCCCCCTTTCATTAATGCCTGTTAATCGTGTTTTCAAATTGATTTCGTGCAAAAATAATTGTGTTTTTCCAATTTTTGACGCAGTCAGAACCACCGCAATGTAATTTTACGTAGTCCTGTGAAGTTTTCTTGAAATCGGTTGAAAAATGTAGGAAATCCGATCCAATATATAAACGTACACACACGCACACACACACACACACACACACACACACACACACACACACAATCTGCGTTTTATAATAAGTATATATATATATATATTTGTTTTATTTTATATAAGTATATTTTATATAAGTATATATTTTATATAAATATTATAAATTTACTTATTTAGAAATATGGTTCCATCGCTACACAGGGATTACCATGTTTCAAAGGCAGAAGCTAAAAACTTCAATTTCAATAATAGAATTAAATTAAGTCTCTAGTTCTGTTTCATTTTCAAGCGAATTTTGAAATTTACTTAGTTGTATAAAACTCAATTAATATTTCAAAATAAGTTATTCTAAAATTCTCTTGAAAATGAAACAGAACTATATATATATATATATATATATATATATATATATATATATATATATGTGTGTGTGTGTGTGTGTGTGTGTGTGTGTGTGTGTGTGAAAAAATATATAGAAAAAAAAAGGAAAGCACTCGTTAGGTAAATAATCCAAAGTTCTTTAGTATTTTTGTTATTATTTTTAAAAAATAGTGCTCGATACAGAAGTAGAGCATAAATATAATTACTTATTTAAAAATATGATTCCAACACGCTACATAAGAGTTCTCATGTTTCAAACTATTTTAAACTATAGTCGCACACCAAAACGTAGGTACACGTATATGTATAATTAAAATATATATTTGCTCTGTCTAACCGCATTGAGCACTATCACGTTTACACCTCATGTATAAATTTGACGATTTATTATTTGCTTGCCCGCTCACGAAAACGTATCTTAATGTAAACAGTTACAACATATAATGACAATTATTTAATATATTTTCTGTTTATACGGTATTTTTACACATACAATTTATTTAAGTAAATGCTCTGTTTTTAATTAAATCAGAATTTTCTAACCAGACGCTTCTCTGTAGCTAAATGGTATAGCACGTCAGATCAAATGACGATTTACGTATCCGAATACAGGTTCGATTCCTGTCGGAGAACGCATATTTTCTACGAAATTTCTCGAAAATTAACGCCGGTAAATGTAATTAATACTATTTAATTAAAACCAGAGCATTTACTTAAATAAATTTTATCTAGAAAATTGCATATAAACAGAAATATATATATATATATATATATATATATATATATATATGAAATGGACAAGGTCCGACAATTATTTTAAGACATTTTTTTTTACCGGCCAGAATCTCCGAAAAGTTGTCATAGAAAATATGCGTCCTCCGACTGAAATCGAACCTGTATTCTATATGGAACTCTCACATAGCCTGACGTGCTTTTACCGATTTCGCCACAGAGGAGCGTTTCGGTTAGCAAGGTCGATTTTATTGTTTTTAAACTAGAATTTTCCATGATTCTCTCATGTACATTATTATCTGCTCAAAGCGTATCCAAATGTAAACAAATGACGTCCCACATTATGAAATTGACAAAGTCCGACAATTATTTTAAGACATTTTATGTTTATACATTCTTTTTATAGATACAAATATTTAAGTAAATGCTCTGTTTTATAATCAACGGTATTTATAACATTTACCGGCCTGAATGTCCGAGAGATTTTCACAGAAAAACATATTGTCTCGACATTCGATTAGTTGTCCTACGGCCATTATCTGCAATGGACGTTACTCCAAGGAAGCGTGCAAAAATTGTAACGTTCCATGAACGCACTGGCAAGCCTTAGCAGTGAGCAAATCAAAGTACTATAGACTGGACCGGAAACTCTTCTGACTTAAATCCATTCGAAAATCTGCGGTCAATCTGCAAGGAACGACTTCGTGGAATGGACCTATGAAGTACTAACATGTGCACTGGGTCATGTTTCATTGGAAAAATACGAAAAAAGTAAATAATAACGGAATTATTCGTTTTGTTTCAATTAATTTTCTCATTTATAGATACAAATATCTAAGTAAATGCTCTGTTTATAATAAACAGTATTAACAACTTTTACCGGCCTGAATATCCGAGAAATTGTCATAGAAAATATTCGTTCCGAAAAGGAATCAAACCCGTATGCTATACGGAACCGTCATATAGCCTGACGTGCTTATACCGATTGAACCACAAAGGAGCGTTTCGTTTACAGTTTTTAAACTAAAATTTTCCATGATTTTCTCACGTACATTCATATCTGCTCGATGCGTATCCAAATGTAAACAAATGGCATTATTTACATTTACATTGTTTACATTTGGATACGTAGAGGATATAGGTTCGTTTCCTGTCGGAGGACACATATTTTTTATAAAAATTTCTCGGACATTCAGGCCGGTAAATGTTGTCAATAATGTTTATTATAAACAGAGCATTTACTTAAATATTTGTATCTATAAAAAAAGAATATATAAACATACAAATATATATATATATATATATATATATATATATATATATATATATATATGAAATGTGAGTTTGTAAACAGTGACTATTATGGCTAATAATGCAAGACTCTTCGGTAAATCGAATTGAGTTCTCTCAGTCACTGGGTGTTTATCTAAAAATAAATACACTTAAAATTCACCTTCATCCCTGCCGTGCGCCAACGGCTTAGTGGTAAAATCTCCGACTGACGCCAATTCAATAGAGGCAACTGGATGTCTAGCCACACTGATGAGCTGTGATACAGCGAAACAGTCTGTCTGTGGATGACAATATATATATATATATATATATATATATATATATATATATTTCACTCGGTAATTAAGCTCTAAAGAGGACGAAAACCGGTCACCATTTTTTTCCTTTTGATTTATGGCTTACAGTAAAATAAAAAAAAAGAATTATTTTCTTTCTCTACTTTAAAAAATATCTTTTAAATGGCGCTAAGGACGAAAAATATTCAACTGTTGAACACCATTTTTTTTATTTTTGATTTTTTATTTGAAACTCACCCTTTATTCATCTAAATATATACAGTATAAAATAATAAAAAGAATAATTATTTTCTTTCTCTACTTTAAAAAATATCTTTTTAAATGGCGCTAATTTTGATCCCCTAGAAAAATATTCAACTGTTGAACACCATTGACACTTTTTTTATTATATTAGAATTTTGTCTCATTTACGCAACTCACCCTTTATTCATCTAAATATATACTATACAGTCCGCTTGTTTATTTTGGGGTGATATTTAATAAACTTCGACTAAGTTTGATCCTCTTATTAATGAACGTTCTCATTGATTTGTCTCATTTTTATGCGTCGGAAATTATTTTATGTTCATCGATTTTTTCCTGAACGTTGGTGCCGTTGAGTAAAAGTTTATAGTTTATCGCTTTACACATACATAACAAACACACTTTCTTTGTCCAAGGCAGCGATAGAAATGTCCTTATTTGGGATTAAATCTTCTAGTGCCTTAATGTGTCTTTATGCTAACGGTTTTTCTTTGTTTAGTCCTAGAAATAGATCTGATCTGGTGGTTTTAAGGAACGTGGAACTACCTCTCAAATGCTGTTGTTCCTAAATCTACTCTGACCCGGGTAGCTCCTATTAGGGTCCCAGCTATGAGCAAATAATGAACCCTCACACAAAACAAAACTCTATGACTATAAAAATCATTTTTATAGCAAAAACACCAGCAATATATTTTTATATTTAAAAAATACGAATAATATCTATTTGTAGTAAAACGACCAACGATATATTTCATCTGTAGTTGAATCCATGAATAGTTTAAATTATTTAGATTTCGGTATTAAATAAGCCACAGAGGTTGATATGCCGCTAAACAAAATGAACCAGACCAAACCAAACCAATCAAAATATTTAGATTTTGGTATTAAATAAGCCATAGAGGTTGGTATGCCGATGAACAAAATCAACCAGACCAAACCAATCAAAATATTTAGATTACGGTATTAAATAAGCCATAGAGTTTGGTATGCCGATGAACAAAATCAACCAGACCAAACCAATCAAAATATTTA